CATTATGTCATTATAAAACAGATCAGTTTGATCCAAATTCCGGCTGATATAATCGCGTGGTCCGGAGAAAGTGGAGTGCCTGCTTATAAGGATTCGCCATTTTCGTCGAGGATAATCATGGGGACGAAGAGATTTGGTTGCAGATGACACCATCAACAGCAGCTAAGCCTGAATTCATGGATTCCCAACTCAATGGATTAGAGATTTTCAAAGTAAGTAATGATAATAATAGCTTGGCTGGTCCAAATCCTCAGCCATCACCTTTGCAGGTTCAAGAAATTCCAAAGAGATCTTTTGAGAAAAAGAATGTAGCTGCCATTGTTGGAGCTACAACTGGAGGAGCCTTGGCCTTCGGTCTAACCTGTGCTGTGTGTTTCGCCGTCCAACAACGAAGAAAAAGAGTTTCCGGTATCGATTCACACACCTCAAGCTGGCTACCCATTTACACCAACTCCCATACATCAGCATCCAAATCAACAATCTCAGGCAAGAGCACCAATGGAAGCCACCTTTCAACTTTGGCCCAAGGTCTTTGTCGGCGGTTTTCACTGTCGGAAATAAAACATAGCACCAAGCATTTTGATGAGTCAAATGTCATTGGTGTTGGAGGGTTCGGAAAGGTGTATAAAGGAGTTATAGATGGAGGTACCAAAGTGGCTATCAAGAGGTCTAATCCATCTTCGGAACAAGGTGTGAACGAGTTCCAGACTGAAATCGAGATGCTCTCCAAGTTGAGACACAAGCATTTGGTGTCTTTGATTGGATTCTGTGAAGAAAATGGAGAGATGTGCTTGGTTTATGACTACATGGCACTTGGGACATTAAGAGAACATCTATACAACACTAAGAAACCTCATCTCTCATGGAAACAAAGGCTAGAAATCTCCATTGGAGCAGCAAGAGGACTCCACTATCTCCACACAGGAGCTAAGTACACAATTATCCATAGAGATGTAAAGACAACTAATATTCTATTAGACGAAAACCGAGTTGCGAAAGTATCTGATTTTGGGCTCTCGAAAACAGGCCCCAACATGAATAATGGACATGTTAGCACTGTGGTGAAGGGAAGTTTTGGTTATTTAGATCCTGAATATTTCAGAAGACAACAATTGACTGAAAAATCAGATGTATATTCTTTCGGTGTTGTACTTTTCGAAGCTTTATGTGCAAGGCCTGCTTTGAATCCTTCCCTTCCTAAAGAACAAGTGAGTCTTGCAGATTGGGCGCTTTACTGTAAACGAAAGGGTGTTCTTGAAGACCTCATTGATCCTCATATTAAAGGAAAAATCACTCCGGAATGTCTAAAAAAGTTTGCAGATACAGCTGAGAAATGTCTGTCTGACCAAGGTATAGATCGTCCATCAATGGGCGATGTCTTGTGGAACTTAGAATTTGCTTTACAATTACAAGAATCCGCAGATGGCTCTTCACATCGATTAGAAGGAAGTGTCTCCGGTGACTCTGTACGAAGCAATCAAGACGTCGGATTCCATGCTGCTAACCACAGTGTTGGAAGTGAACAAGACTTGAGTGACATAGCTTCGGATGATCTAAACAACAGTGCAGTCTTCTCACAGATTGTTAATCCAAAAGGGAGATGAGAAAATTGCATTTGCTGTCTGACAAAAGTTCTATTCAAGCAGGGATGAGAATCAAGAAAGGAGAAAAACAAAAATACAAGTTAGATTTTTTCCCCATCATGATCAGAGAGGGATGGTTTTATTGTTTATGAAATTGTATTTTGTTTCTTGTCTTTTTAGTATTTTAATATGAATTTGAATACGAAGTTGTCTTCGCTCAATTAAATATTATTTAAAAATACTACCTTACCCTGCCCTACCCGGAATTATTCTATATGATAAAATCGTATGCTTAATATAATTATACATTATATATGTACTGTTCATAGAAAGAATTTAAATTCTTTGTTAGATTTTTCCTAATCATTCTTTTTGTTTGTGTATTATCGACGTAGAGATTTATTTTCTCTCGAAATACAAAAGTCTATCTATCGATTTGATGAATTTCCTGTAAATATAAGTTTATTAATAATTATGGATGTTTATATAATTGTATAATTTATAATTCTGTTCCTAAGTAATCTCCTTTATAAAGATAAAACATTTGAACATTTTCAGTCTCTCCTCATATGATAACAACATTTTCTATTCGATAAAATATGAATTTATAAAAAAATGTTTTAAGGGAAAAAAGCAATTTTTGTGATAAAAATATTAAATTTATAAATACAATTCATAAAAAAATCATAATATAAACAATCTATACGTTTAAATTATTAATAAAACCTTTTTTTTTTTTTGAAGAGTTTAAACCCTTCTTTTCAGGGTTCTATCATCCCATGGAGGTTCTATTGTTCTAAAGTAA